CTCACCTCCAGTTGATGTGTAATGATGATGATTTGGATCAATCTGATTCATATCCCTCGTGGTCCAGAAGTACAAACGCTTGCAAGTGGAGTTATGAAAGTTGCAATGGATGATAGATTGGGTAAACATGAACGAGGAAGGGAAGGTGAACAGAAAGCCAACAAAGTCCTGCTAATGTGATCTGACCAGTGGCACCCGATGAATGAACAATTCTAAGAGGACTAGGCATAGTGTGAAAAATATATTAAGCAGCAAAATAAGAAGCATGAGTAGTATGGACGAAGCAGCAGCGACGGGCGAGCGCAGAGTTGAGTTACACCATTCACCATGCTAAAATCGAAGACATCAATCCTCATGAGTCAGTGAACTCACCATGTGGTAGACCCGCTGACTTTCAGATGTACATTTAATCGAAGCCTTTGGCTAAGGAACCGAGTTGTTCTCCTGTCAGATGCAGGCGCCTTGTCATTACGCTACCCCAAACCCCATACTCCTCGAAGGTTAGGAAGTAGTCGATGGCACTGTTCTTGTAAAACCCAGTCAACAGGTCCACAGGTTACAAGCTCACAGCTCAATGCAAACCTGCCAAAACCCACCTGCGTCTGACCGTGGTCGCAGATGCATATCATATTATGGTCGCAAGACATAAGAATTGTTCCAGTATCTCAAAGGCTGCGGGTAACGACCTTAGGCTGATCCCAATTTGTCTCTGCAATCACATTCCCGAGATGGATCTGCTCCCCACTGCATTGTGGGTGAGGCTATTGAGTCAAAGGCTACAGACCGAAGTTCTCAAGCTAACCTCCAAAATACCCACTGCCTTGGGAGTCAGGCTATTGAGCCAAAGGCTCCCGGGGGAGTCCCTCAAGTAAATATGTGCCGGAACGTGAGTGAGTGCCCCGAGCAACGCACTGAACTGGTCGCGATGAAAATGGCGCGGTACAACATCAATATTGTGCCGCTCAAAAAGACTCGGCTCGCTGAAGAAGGTAAGTTGCATGAAGCAGGTGCCACTTACAGGTTTTACTGCATGGGAAACGCCACCTCAGCACCACGTGAACATGGGGTCGGATTTGCAATATCCGATCGCCTCCATGGCCAGCTAGTGGGCGAACCAACAGGCATCAGCAAGCGACTGATGACTGTTCGCCTACGACTCGGAAGAGGTAAGTTTGCCACCTTTATAAGCACATACGGTCCAACTATGTGTTATCCTGATGACACGCGTGATCAATTCTACACTCATTCTCCATGACACAGTATGTGAGGAGAAGCGAGCGACTCTTTCTGATGGGCGATTTCAACACGCGCGTTGGGCGTGATGTATCGGTGTGGATAGATGTCATCGGTCGGCATGGCATTGGTTCAGCGAATGCGAACGGTGACAGGCTGCTCTCACTGTGTGCCACTCACGGCCTGACGATCACGAACACTCGGTTTGCACTGAGTGCGAGTGATATAGCAACTTGGACGCACCCACGGAGTGGTCACGCTCACCTGCTCGACTATGTCATCGTACGTCAGCGTGATATGCGTGAAGTGCGCATGACACGTGTACTGCGTGGAGCTGAGTGTGGCACTGATCACAAATTGGTGCGGACCAAACTGTACATATATTTTCGTAAATCTATGTATTGCACTCCCGCCGTGAATCGGCGTAAATTTAACATTCTCTCCCTCGGTACTGTGGCGAAACGTACTGAGCTGGAGAAGGCGATGGCTGCACGCCTGTGTGATGTGGAATGCATAGCCACAGTGGGCGACCTGTGGCACCACATTCGCGACCAGGTGACAGCTGCTGCTGAGGAGACCATCGGGCGCGCAAACTGTAAACACCCGATTCATTTGATGAGAACAATGCGACGATTGGCGCATTGGTATCGGAGAAGAATGCAGCATTTGCTGCACATGTGGCAGACCTCAGGGACTTGGGGAAGAAGAGTCAGTTTCGCAAACTTCGACGGCGACAGACCCGAGAGCTCCGTCGTATAAAAAACACACGGTAGACGGAGAAGGCGAGGAAGATGGAATGCTACGCCGAATGCTGTCAAACACAAGGAATTCGTTGATTCCTTGAAGGCAGTGTATGCACCGAGATTGGAGCCGCTGAGGACGCTGATCGATGGTAGTTCAGGCGCTGCCTGCGCAAAGACGGCAGACTTAATACAGTTAAGGCGAAATCACCTTGATCGTCTCTTGAACAGCCGTTCAGAGATCGACTGGCCTACAATGAACAGCCTCAAGCAGCACTATGTGAAGGCGAGTCTAGCGGACACGCCGAAGACACGCGGAGAGCATTTGTCAGCTGCGAGACGGCAAGTGCGCCGGTGCCGCCGGGATCCCGCCTGAAGTATTGAAACACGGCGGACCAGCGTTGGTGACTGCGCTGCACCAGTTGGTGCAACGCGTACGGAGTGAGGAGGAGGTGCCTCCTGAGCTGAAGGATGCCCTTGTGCTACCACTGTACAAGGGCAAAGGGAGCAAGCAAGGTTGCACAAATCATGGTGGCATCAACTTGCTGAGTTGTGTGGGCAAGGTGATTGCTCGAATCCTGCTCAACCGCCTCGTCAGTCAGGTTGTGGAACCTAACGTGGCTGAAGAGCAGTGTGGATTCCGTTCGGGTCGCAGCACTATAGATTTGGTTTCTTGCAGCTCGTCAGTTGCAGGAGAAATACAGAGAACACAAGCAACTGTACTCACTGTGTGTTAACTTCACCAAGGTATCTCACATTGGCAAACCGCAAAGCACTTTTGCTGATATCTGGTAAGTTTGGTTGTCCGAGTAAGTTTACTTGAATGTCTGCACAGTGGTATGCGAGCGAGGGTGCAGCTGAGTGGAGAGACCTCGGAGGACTTTCCAGTTGTCTTTGGTGTGAAGCAAAGTTATCTTCTAGCTCCTACCCTGTTTAATCTATACCTTCATGCAATGATGTCTTGTGCTCTGGATGACGCTTGTGTTTACGGTGTTCGTGTGGAACACCGCATTGATGGTGGGTTACCGAACATCCGTCGTCTGGATGCGAGAACTCTAGTTTGTGAGACAAGTATCCGTACGTTGCTGTTCGCTGAAGATTGTGCGTTATTTGCACACAGCGCGAATGAGTTGCAGCACATGACTAGTGCTCTGGCGTCGGCAGCGGTCAAATTCGGGCCTACCATAAACACTAGGAAAACTGTCTGCCTTTCAGCCTTCAAAGGAGGTGCAATCTACAATGGTGCCGCGAATCAGCAATGGTTATAAAGTATCTTGGGAGTGTTATGTCGACGGACCAGCAGCTACACAGTGAGCTTCGTATCCGCGTCTCGAAGGCAGCGGCGGAATTCAGGAATTTTGAGTATCCAGTGTGCAACAACCATCAGCTTACCGTCGACACGCAGCTGATGGTGCACAATTCCATGGTGCTGTCCGTTCCTCCATACGGCAGCGAAACGTGGACCATGTACCGACGAGATGTGCAAAATCTCGAGCGGTTTCATCAACAGGGTCTGCGACAGAGTCTGCGCATTAGGTGATAGGACAGCGTTGCTGACACAGAAGTGTTGCACCGAAGTAAAATGTATGTACTGGACGGAATACTTTTGCTGAGACACCTAAGGTGGATCAGTCATGCGTGGCGTATGGATTCGCCGCCAATACCGAAGCAGTTATCATATGGTCAACTGAGTAATGGGAAGCGGCATGTAGGGAAACCGAAGCTTCGTTACCAGGACATGATCAAACTGAGTCTATCACGTTCTAATCTTGATTGCATGTCATGGGAATCGAAAGCGGTTGATCGGCGTGTAAGATGCGATCTGATCACGAAGGCCGTTGCCGAGGTGAGCAAGAGAAAGCCCTCGTGCATGTAGAGGAAAAGCGGCAATTGCGGAAGCGACAGGGGCAGATGGGTTGTACTCCAGGGACACGATCGTATGGGGCTGTATCACATGCGGTCGCTAGTGTCTGTCAGGCAGGCCTAGTGAGCGATGAGCGAAGCCACTCGGGGTCAACACCGACACGACGAAGATAACTGTAGAGAAGGTAAGAAAAAGCTGCGAAGCGCTGGTAGGTACGCTGCATTCGAGTTACAAACCGCATGCTTGCATGCTGAGCCTCTTTGTTTCAGGTGCTGAGTTTGCTATATTGCTCTATTGCATTTTTTGTGTTATAATAATGTTTGCCTAAACTATCTACTATTAACTTGGAGACAACTGAAACTACATTGTTAACTTCGATAACATTTTCGCGTTGGTGGCATTTTCTCAAAATACACTTTGTGAAATCTTGAGATGATCGCGGATTTCTTCGTAACCAATTTATTTCATAGGCTCATTTAAGGGTTAAGTCAGCATATTTGTATGCATTACTCGATTTTTTATTTGATACCATCGTTTCAAGAGATTGACTGTTGGTTGATATCCCCGGTGTGGCTGCGCTTCATGTGCATGTTGACAAGGTGCCTACCTGCCTATTACACACTACCCCGTTCAAAGTGGCTGCAGGAGACAGTTGATCGTTGCTGGAGGGGATGGAGTGCACGGTCGTTGTGGCCGTGCTAGGCTCAAAGAGTGGTTCCATGCACTCAATGTGGAGCGGACTACGGTCCAGCCATCGCCTTGTGTGCGCTTGATTCCCAAATACGGCGTACTTGTATCTGCCTCTGAAGGAGTGGGGGCCGGCTCCGTTGATGAAACGTGGCTCCCATTCACATGCCTCCCGGTCTTATTCCTTCGGGTTTACACAGGTATGGGGTGTGGATGGAGCTGTGGGTGGTGCGGCGCAAGCCACCTATGGTCCGTCTGTAGGCGCGGGCGTCTTGTAGAGGCGACAGAGACAGGCGAATCGGGAACCGAATGCCGCCAACCGCATAGGAAGAAACAGGTGGTAGACGAAGCGATTAAGCAATTTTATCCATTTTAATTTTCTGGTTACTAGGCGCATCTAATTCGCTTTGTGGAACTTACGTCAGTTCACCTCGAGGTATGCATCAAAGTTCGAAAAACCACTGATCCATACATACCTGATTGGACTAGTACGTTCCTCGAGAACTGTTGAACCGAGCGAGATGAATGGTTTGATCGTGGATAGTGGAACAGCAAGCGATTGGAACATGCATGTGGCTGTGCTTCCTGAACAGTGCGGATACACGCGTTCATCCCGGAATAATAAGGAAGTTGGTCTGATTGAGCTACAGGGGGAATAGATTGCGTATCTGATGCAGTCGATGTACGACGTGTACAGCAGACGTTGCAGGCATTGCTTGGAACGATTGTTTTATTGCAAGACCGAGTTTGACGCTCCCCTGACTGCATGGAGTGTCTGCAGGAGACTATAATGGAAAGCGCAAAAGCTGAATCTGTGATACAAGCTGAAACATCAAAGAACGCTACAGGTAGCAAAACTGGGAAGGTATGCGTATTAGGAAGATGAACTACTGTAATGATTTGATTAGATACCGCACGCAAATCTCGTTGATAAAATGTTTCGAGATGTGTATCAGGAAAATGCAGCAGTTAGGCCAACTGCTTGAGAACGAAGGATAGGTGGAGTAAGAAACAAGGAGCACCGTATGAACATAATAGGTAAAACTAAGGTAAAAGTGTTCTGAATATAAGACCGACCCCACAACTTTTTCCAATCGCTTCCGGGAAGCGCAAATAACGCTCCACGGGGAAAACAGTACGTGACCGAGCCGACGCATGCGGTGTCGGAGAATAACGGTTTGGATGCATAAGCTGTTTGCTCCAAACACTTGCTCTCGTACTTCTGCGCTGTTTAGGTGATGCTGCCATCTCAAGCAGACAACGATTTTCAAAAACTGACAATAATTTTTTCTTCCAAGCGAGTCGGCCAGATCTCACAACTGCGCTAGGAGACCGCACGGACGGAGGAAATGTATACCATGCAGTTGAGTTTCAGTCTGACGTCGCGAGGACGCCATAAAAGTCTCAGTCAGATAAATGCAGGGTAGAACTTGCGATCCTTTGTGAGACCTCATCTCCAACACCGCCGCCAGCTGTGATGCAACACCATAGATATGTGATGCAGTGGGTTTGTTCCAGGATGTCACTAGTAATGATGAGGGCAGGCACGGGGATCCGCCAATCCTGGAGTAAATTTTACGTTTGACTTATGTGAAATACAGGCCATAGTTAAACACTTTCAATAGTAGGCGGTTCAAAGCACTCTGGGCGACTTGTAAATTATCTCCAAGCAAAGCGATATCATCGGCGCAGTCCAAGTCTACAATTCAGTCACCTGGGAGAAGATTAATACAGCTGTGCTAAGGGACTTCCAATGCTTGCTTGACATCTTCAGTGGCAAAATTAGAGAGGAAAGTGGGATAGAAAAATATGGACGTACACCACTGGTGACATGCAAACGGAGATGAATGCCTAACGTAAGCCATGACTTTGCCCGATGTGCGACTGTAGAGATCCTTCAAGATGGTGTTGATCGACATCCAAGAAAGGAGAGTAAGAATTTCACGGAGTCTCAGTTGATACTGCATTTACACCGTTGGGTCCTCCAACTTGTAAGTGTTCAGTTGGGTTTGTTTGGCCTAGGTGAGTCACCGAAAAGTATGCCAACCGGTGCACATACCAACGCATGATCGGGTACAACGAAGGTTGACTAAAATGATAGGCAACAGCGTACGCTGCCACGCCACCTGTGACTTATGACTATATGATCAATTTGTGATCAGCGCTGGGTTGACAATGGAGGACGCAATGTGGCGTAGTGGCGTATAGGGTGACGAAAGCTCGTACTTGTAAGGAAAAACCGCTGGTCAGTTCATAGACTGAGTATCCCCTATAAGTTGTGACAGCGAACATCATACCATGCGGTACACCGATGTGGTGTTCACATGGCAGCAGCCGACCGATACGTGAGTCAAAATCACCTGTCATAGTGAGGTCTACTATAAGCGCCTTTAGAAACAGCTCATGAAGATGCCGATAGAACTGCCGACTGTATCCGAGCTGCAGTCAGTGGGCATGTAGGCAAAGATCACGAAAAGGACGTGTTTGTCTACACGATGCCTGCTAACCTTGCAAGAGCCGTGGAGACTCATAGCGTATAGGCGACTGTTGACTTTAATCCCATCAACGAGGACGGCCTCGGCTCTGGCACTGACAGCGATTCCAAAACTAGCTTGTCCAGATGCGGTGGACTTAGTGTCACCAGAAACGCAAAGACGAAAGAGGGTGTGTATATGGACTGGCAACGACAGCTGGTAAACTGTATTGGAACCCTGAGTCGAGTTTCACTCAGGTAGCAGACGTCGATTGCAAGGGTCCCCAATGTGCGTGTAAGTTCAGCTTGCTGTCCGATCTGTAACAATGTGAGCACGTTAAGGGCTGTTAGTTTGAACTGCATTCCAGGTTGTAGTAAGGAAGATGGTGGACTTCGAGGCTGACAGCTCCATGTCGAGGACTGTGTGGTTGAGTTCACGGGTGGCGAAATAACAACTTGATGGCCGGAGGTATGGTTGTTTGTCCGTCGCAGAATCAAGTAATAATGAGATGAATGAAAGAAAGAAAGGAGAGGTAAATTGGTGGCGCGTTTGTGAAGTTGGCGTAGTAGTAGGACAGTGAAAGAGTAAATGTAGTTGTGTGATTCCATGGTTTATCAGCAGACGAGATACTACCCGGGTGCTTAGGCCGAAGTAGGGGGGTTGTTATAGGACAACACGCCCCAGAGCCTTTGGCCGAGGGACCTAAGCTACAAGGCAACAGAAGGAAATAAGGATTTCGCACCCGCATGGACCCGGTGGCTGAACTTCAGTTCATACGCATTTCGGATGACGAAAAGCCATACCAAGGACCCAACACTCCCAAAGTCAAAGGCAGAATTCCACGCTCGGATTCTTTGTCGGTATATAATGCCTCCAAAGAAGACAAGTGACAAAACACATCGGCCACGTCGCAATATTGTTAATCCACCACTTGCCTTTATATAGGGAGAAGACTTACCAAGCGTAAACACACCACCTCACGAGACACTGCTGCCGAAAAATTCGCTGGAACGGAGAATACCTGAATCGCCCAGCCGGCACTACGGGGAGGTTTCTCAGTAAGCCAGTTCGGACGCTAACGTAGTGCGATGATTCGCGACACGCAAGGAAGCAATGCTAAACCCTCCAGTCTTGTTTTGATAAATAGTTACCTCCTACTTTCGACCCACAGGCAATTACATAAGGTTCCCACGACCCAGTCAACTAGTTCATGTCCAAACATGCGGATAACCTCTGTTCATACATTTATATCTGCAACCAACGATTCATGCTAAGACTGGCGTGGTCAAACGTGCACTATGTGCAGATCGGTCAGCAGGAAGTACTGTCCAGAACATCAGAGGAACCGTCACACGATATCTACTGTTGAGCGGAAATCCAATCGTAAACCTCAAACTCTGCGATCATTCTATGCGACTTTGTCGGAACCTTCTCACTGTGTCTGTCCAAAGATAACACAGATTGGAATGCCGACCAAGTAAGTGGACACATTGCTCTGATCCATCGACTTTAAGCGGCCCTCATCGACTGAGTTATAAGCATTAACTGAATGTGCACCGTTAGATTGAATGCCTAGTTCACAAACCGAAGTCGTGTGAAACCATAGGCGCCTGTTTGTCACTGCCGAATACGACCCTACCAACCTGTGGGGTTGACCAGGTGAAAAATCGCTTCTACCATCAACTGAACGAACTCGTTGGTCAATAAGTACAGGTTGTATTGTGGTGGTGACCGGTGACATTAAAGATAAAGTTGGAAAGTTGCCCAATGATGAGCATCAGCTGAGAGGTAAACACAAAGCTCGTTCCAGTAAAGAGGATGGTTAGCTGTTGAATCAATTATGTGCGAATGATCGTCTAGTTATTGTCCAAGAAGGACTCTTGAAGTCTTATATGAAAGAGCATTTCGAGCGTCATCCGAAAATCTTACTACCGTTCCTTATAGTTGCTGTACAAAGCGATAGTTGTCAATTTCGTTCGCCAACGGGAAAGCCGATGTCGCATTAGACAGTATGGTAAGTCCCAAAAGTCTGGGCGCTCAATTCTTTTAATGCGGGACAAAGGGTCCCTCCTTCGAGTGTGCGGTAGAGCGCACTAAACTGACAACTGTCAGTTGGTTGGTTGAAGAGGAGGAGGAGGAGGAGTTGAAGAGGAGCTAACATCCTCGGCCACAAATGCACCCAAAATAATATTTGCCTACTTGAAACGTCAACTGAAATCTGGGGACGACCTACCGGTCTTAGACGGAAAGACGCTCATTTCAAGCGCGGAGCGCGAGGACGTCTTGGCCACGCACTTCCTCACTGTATTTTCCAGTAAACCGGTTGCGGTTTCATTACCGACACAGGTTGCGCCAGTCTTGCTCAACAGCATACAATGTAATGCAATCGAAGAGTATCAGCTACGCGTCAACCTCGATGATGCAACGCCCCCCGGACCAGACGGACTTCACCCACTAATACTCAAGTCCCTATCGATTATCATCTCACCAGCCGTGACAAACGTTGTCAATAAATCGCTCTCTGAAGGATCTATCCCGAACGACTGGAAACATAAGTAAACAAATGAATAAATATATATTCTCCATTGTACACGATAAAACCATCCAACGTCTGATCAATTTGTACAACTAGCAATTGTCTGACTGTGAGGGAAATAGTTGCATTCATGGGTCAATTGTTGGGTTGTCTAATGGTGTCACTAGTGCGTCGGGACAGACTGAAATCTAAGAGCATTGTCACGTCAAGTCAAGCATTCGTTTTTATGCTCCAATGAAGGGTGAGTTTTTATCTGTAACCCACACGCGATCGAAACGGTAAAGCGAACAACACTATAACCTTACAATGTCCACCCGGCATTATGGCGCCCTTTAGCAGCGAAAGCAGCCTAATAAAAGCTTACGGGTTTGTTGAAAGCTAGTCATGAGGCGATAACGTTTTATGTGGCAATAGAAATACGGCGCACATCGACCGGTCATCACATAAGGCCAGGCTGTTTTTCTCAGTTGCTAGCACAGCGACCCACTAACCACTTCACAGGGAACGTTTTTGTTGCTTTTTCACCTGGACTAATGCCGACTACCGACCCATCGAAGCATGCCGAGTTCAGTGCGGCTGTGGTGTCTGGCTCACATCCAGTCTCACAGCCGATCGGCGTGCGTTCCCTTGGTCTTGCTCTGCGATCCACGCAAGACAGGTCGATTAAGGCTGTGGTGTTTGATAACGTTCACTGCTCTCAGTCGAACGGGGTGCGTTCCCTTGCTTTTGCCCTGCGTTCAAGGCATGACGCATTCATTGCGACCGTGGTGTCTGG